TTCCAAAAATGGTAGATAAATGGAGTTCACCTAGCTTAGTACACATGTGATAGACTGGAAAAAGATACAGTATTTGAAGCAATACATAGTGAAGTGATTTTAAAACAATGAGCAGGATCCAAATTTAAGGAGAAATAACTGAAAGAAGGTGCTGTGCGTACAAACTCAAAGTGGAGGAATGGGCCTAACTGATCCTGGAAATGGTTTCATGGGAAAAGATAGAACAGATGCTAGGAAGGACAGAAAAGTATGAATAAAAATAAGCTTGGAAGCTTAGAAACTTTTTGACCTTGAACCTTAACAAGTCTCCTCTGAAAAAGAGAAAAGATGCTTTGCCTTACTTCACTGAGGGCCATGTTTAACAATTCAAAATGTTTAGAAAACTATTAAATATAATCCTATTATTACAGTTTGTAGACCCTTTAAAGTCTGTGCAGGTGAGAAGTCTTTCTACAGTAAAGCCTACCTCTCATATAAAGCATTTAAGACTATGGTGTTTCAGGCACTAAAAGCAGGAAGTAAAAAAACTACAAGAGGTCTTTGATCTATTTGGAGTTGATTCTGGTGCAGGGTGCTATATAAGGATCTAACTTTAGTTTTCTATAGGTGTTTAACCAATTTTGCCAGCACCATTTACTGAGAAGGCTGTTTTTTTTCCATTCTATTTTTTTGGCTCCCTTATCAAAGACCAGGTGGCTATAGGTCTGCAGGTTCATTTCTGGGTCTTCAGTTCTATTCCATTGGTCCTCAGGTCTGTTCTTTTGCCAGAACCAAGCTGTTTTGATTAGTATAGCTGTGTAGTAGAGTTTGAAGTTTGGTATTAATATTCTTCCAGCACTGTTCTTTCTGCCAAGGATTGTTTTAGCTATTTGGGGTCTTTTATTGTTCCTGGAAAGCAATATGGAGGTTCCTCAAAAGACTACACATAGAGATTCCCTATGACCCAGCAACCCCACTTCTGGGCATTTACCCCCAGTGAGCATAAACAAGGCCATACTAAAGCTACCAGCACAACTACATCTCTTGCAGCATTATTCACCATAGCTAATATATGGAACCAACCCAGACGTCTCTCAGTAGATGAAAGAATGACATCACCCCATTTGTTAGGAAATGGAAAGACGGGAAAAATCACATTAAGTGAAGTAACCCAGACCCAAAGAAATATAGGCCCCATGGTTTCCCTTATTTGCAATAATTAGTGTATATCTAAGATAATCTTATCAGATGAGCAGAAAAGCTCAAAAGCTATGTACACATGACCATATAAGATGATGCTAAGCGAAATGAACCCCAAGATATGGACACAATACATTTTTCTTTGTTGTTGTTTTTAATGTACTATGTGATTTTTTTTTGGTTTCTCTTGTATGTCCTTCCTCCTATGTTATATCCCTGTTGTCACTGTATTTGATTTTGGTACCTTACATCTTATCAAATTTGGGGAGGGGAATGGGGAATAACAAAATGCTGAAACAAGTACACAGGATGACCCATTGCAACAGTGATACTCACAAGACACTGTTGGAAATGAAATTCACAACTTTGGGAGAGAAGGAGTATAGGAGGTGTGGAGGGAAGGGATAGTAGGAGAAAAACAAAGGAGAGGGTAACAATGCTCAACAAGAAATGTACTCATTACCTTACTGATGTAACTGTAACCCCTCTGTACAGATCTTTACAAGAAAATAAAATTTAAAAACTACAAGAACAAAATTAACTCCCTTTCTACTATACCTATTTTTAGGTATAGTATTATATTAAGTTAAAAGAATAGGAGACATAAAGGGGCTATCTAAATATGACTTCTCCTTTGAGATGTTAAATACTACTGTAAACTCTTTATAACAGGTAAAAAAGACAAGAGTACTAGAAAGTATGCTTGGCAGAGGTTAAGTCCTAAAATCACCCATCATCCCTGTGGTTTTAGTAGGTGATCATATTTTCATGTTTAAGATCAATTAATATTACCCATTTACCGACCCAGAATTATCTTCTAAATATTAGGAGTGGATATGACCAACTCCACCATTTTGAATATTAACCTACTGTTTTCCTACACAGGGTGAAGAAAAGTATTTCTCTTTTTCTCCCTTTTTTCTCTACTTTCCTGTTATACTAAATACAAATTTTTGCTAAAATTTCCACCTTGTGAGACTTGTCCTTATGCAACCCCTGCAATGTTTTTCATGAGTAAATCTCAAGGACTTATAAAACTTGTGGAAGGTGAGGGAGCCCTTCAATTATCATCCATTTCTTTTTTTTAACTTTTTTTTTTGTTGTTGTTGGTCATGAGGCTTGAATTCTCAAATCTCATCTTTATAGTTTACTTCAGTAAACTTGTGTGTCCACATACTTTGAACCAGGAATGATTCAAGTACTTCAAGTATTTCACTGTTTTTATTTATTAGAAAATTAGATGTCTTTTTTTTTTTTTAAGGATTTGGGTAGGGCTAGTAGAATCAACTTTCCTTACCATTTCCACTCAATATCAATCTTTTATGACTATTGATGGTCATTACACTGACAACTGTACTTGTGTGTTTCTATAATATAGGTAGGCTTGTTCTCTCTCTTTTTCCCATTTGTACCTTTGGATCACTGAATTAGACTATTGTAGTTCATTAAAAGTCAGCTCTTTAAATGTGCTGTGGTTGTGTATTTCATCGGAAGCAATTTCATTTAATCTCCACATGTTACGAAAAAAATCAAAGCTCATTAACATGACTTCCCAATAATGAGGATGGTTGGCAGCCACGCTTCAAAACTATGATCACGATTTCTACCACAGGCCTTTGTAGAACACCACACACTGGTACCACTTAAAATTTACTAAGTGCAACTGGTATATGAATGTACATATATACACACAAAAAAGAAAAAAATTACCAAGTGATGTGAACAGGAAGTTATTATAAATAATTAAGTATAACTACATTTTCCTATAGAGATCACCATTCCATGAGCTTGTTCTCATGAGCCCTGTAAACATGCCTCCCTCATCTTGTCCAATTTCTTGAGTTTTAAAATAGTTTTGAACGATTACTATGTTTTTACTTGATAAGATTCTGAGCTTAAAAGGTGAGAAATTCCCTTTTTTAGATACTCACATGATTATTTTTTCCCATAAGCTTCAAGAATCTATTTTTAATGCTTGTAGAATTGGTTTCATTATACTCATATTATGGATACTATTTTATTGAGATAAAAATCTATCAAATGTAAGGGCACTTAGATTCTACTAATAAACAAAGATGAACTGGGTTTAAAGAAACTAGATAAATGATTCATGGGAAGATCTTAAGCTAGGGAAAAAATTACTAAGATCCATAGGGGTCTCATACTCTTTTCTTCTTCTGTTGAACAAAATAAGTCACAATAAACAGGAAATTAAGATCACTATTTTAGTAATTTTTTCCATTCTCAAGAATTCTTAATTCTGAGCAGACAGAAGGTGCCCTAGGTTTGTGGATCAAAACTTGTACCTCAATGACCAGCAACAAAATCCTCTTTTATAGATATGTGATCACCTTTTTGTTGTTGTTAAAACGTACATTATAAGCCAGGTGCTGGTGGCTCATACCTGTAATCCTAGCTACTTAGGAAGCAGAGATCTGAGGACCATGGTTCAAAGCCAGCCCAGGCATGAAAGTCTGTGAGACTCTTATCTCCAATTAACCACCAGAACACTGGAAGTGGTGCTGTGGTTCAAAGGGGCAGAGAACTAGCCTTGAGTAAAAAAGCTCAGGGACAATGCCTAGACCCCTAATTCAAGCCCCATGACTGACAAAGAAAAAAAAGTGTATTATAATCTCATAACTAACACATACAAATGCATATAAAAACATAAATGTGGAACTTTTAAGTTTTTATAGTCATACTCCTATTTCTTACTAGAAGAAAGTTGCTACTTATAATCAGAGAAATGATTATATTTCTGATACTTAATGAGATCACTTCATGTAGGAATGATACAGAAGTTCCCATTTCTACAGAAAACAGATGTAGGAATAAGAAAAATTCTTTTAAGTCAAAATAAATACAGAATATATTCAAAGGTTGAAGTCAGCCACCAAGGATAGGACAAAAATCTTTTAGAATAAAAATTTATATTATACTTGGAAGCCCAATTGATCAGACAGAGCTTTGGCAATGTAATCCAAAGACAGACTGACTGACTGACTCAGACACAGTTTGACAACTGCCAACATGACTGTTGGGAGGATTGCCAAAGAGCCAAAGGCTGGGATTACCATCCAAAGCCTGGCATTCTGGTACATGTATCTAAAGCTTTCTCTCTTATACTCCATCCAATGTTTTTGTTTGGCTCAAAAGTAGCAAGGATTCACAGATCTTTAAAAATCATTAAATGTTCTTATTTTCAAGAAATATAACATTAGTTGTAAAAAAACACTTTTTCTGTGAAGTGTAAAGAAAATTTTGATAAATCCTTTTACACTCAAATAAAGGAATAAGTGTTAAAATCTGTTTAAATCTTCATTAAATCTTTATTTTACTTATTATTTATTTAGTCTTCAAAATAAAAACTACATATTCATAATATGAAGTAATTTAGTATTTCATTGTATTATAATAGACCTAGTCCTTTGTGCAGACCTACTTTCTTGATTTTCACAGGGCCCAGGAGCTCCATTTGACTAAGTCATCTCCTGTGAGAGGAATCAATGATAATGAAGTTTATCCAAAAGAAGAGGTAGTTGTTCAACTATTTCCTTAAGTCATGTTGAAGGCAGGCAGACAAAACACCTTGTTGAGCAACAACAAGATATACATTTTATTTTCTCATAACAATGAATACTTACTTGGCTTGCTAAGTTGCTGGCCAATGAAGTATGGTGGGTTTTGGCCTACAAAGTTTGACAAAATTCTACCATTAGGCAACTTATCTGTCATTAGGCACATTCTACATTAGAAATTCTTACAATGCATACAGAGATGTTTCTTTAAAAAAATCCACATATTCCACTGCAAAAGCTTACCTTTGGATCTCTAAGGAATAGAGCTTTAAGAATCAGTGAGTGTACATCCCCGATGAGTGGGTAATGCATTAGAAGGCCCAGGCAGGTCTGGTAGTTACTAGAAATCACTAAAATAAAAGGGGAAAATAATTCAGATATAACACTGTTTAAAGTATTTTTCATTGGGAATGTAAAAGATATGACAGCAGCAAAGAAAACCAATAATTCACTGATTTGATAAACGTAAGTGAGGAGAAGGATCTTTACCAAATGGCCTTGGAAGTAGCATATTGCATTGTTAACTACAATCTAATAGCACTTTCCTGAGGGAATGTCAGGAGAAGAACTTCAGATACAGTTATGTGTGTATGTTTGCAATATAAATAAATTTTTAGATGCATGCATATTACCACCATTTATATGGTTGTCTTCAGTTTTATGTCTTAGAAAGTAATAATAAAAACCTATGAATGGGAAAGAGCCAGTTAAAAATTCTCAGAAAATAATATTTACCTTGATTATTAAGTTTCAAAATTTACACGTTACATTTACTCTTTTTTTTTTTTTTGTCGGTTGTGGGGCTTGAACTCTGGGCCTGAGCACTGTCCTTCAGCTCTTCAGCTCAAGGCTAGTGCTCTATCACTTGAGCTATAGCACCACTTCCCATTTACTCTTTTAAGTATATAAATAGTACATAATTCAAAATTAAATGAAATATAATTTCCTATAATTATTTGTTTTTCTACAATAAGAAATTTAGAGAAAGAATAGGCAGAGACATAATTTTTTTTCTTAGAGAAAAAAGGTCAAAATCTTCCATAGACTGTCATTTAATTTTTTTCAAATCAACCTAATTATAGGTAAATTTATTAAAGATCTTTTCAGGCCGGGCAGTGTAAATGTCTTTATTTCCAGGCAATCTGTTTGACACTGCTGTCACAAAGGGGTCCATTAGTAAGACTTGTTTTGTAAGCCACTATGACTGCCTCCTTCAACAGCACTGATTGTATAGGAACTTTACAGCTACTTTACTGTATGTATGACTGAATCTATTTTATTGATCAATGACTTGAGAAAGTTCCATAGTAAAACAGCCATGATTTAATTGAAACAACACACAAAAAAGCAACTATTTGTAATAAGAATTACCAGTGATTTGGGGATGGAGATGTGGCTCAGTTGATAGACTGCTAGACAATGAACGAAAGCATCAGCTACTGCTTTGAAGTCCCAATCTCACAACAACCACAATAATAAGAAATACTATCAATTCTTATAATTTTTTCCTGTTGTTGGAAAGGCCATTTTGGTAGCTCCCCACCTGTCCCTTTCTATGAGCACTATGGGGAAAGGAGACAGGATTGGGCAAAATGAGTAATTATAATCGATGTAAGGGACTACTGTTTCACCTTCATTTTCCGTTGCTGATCTGACAACTTGTAATCATTCATATGCTTTCATTTGTAAAACACACTCGTATCCTACTTTTTCTATATCTGTTCAGACTCTTATTTGTTCATGTTTCCATATTCATATTCAGCTACCTTTTGTCCTTTTTCTAAGAGATTCATAAAACCAGGATACAGTGATAAAATGTTTTCATATTCAGAATCACTATCTGGGACCCCAGGGGGGCTTGAGAATACGAGACAAAACCCCTGGACTACACAAGGCATGAACCCCAGGCTCAGACTCTGCACAGGCAGCAGCAGTGAGCCAAAGTTTCTGATCACCTCTGGAATAACAAGGGAGAAACAACAGATATTCTACAGTGCAATGTGTGCTTAAGCTATGACGCTGGTAAGCTGAAGGAAATACCCCAAACCCAACATTCTTTTTGAAGATAAGAAAACAGGCCAGAGAGGGGGAGTGACCAAGAGTACACTATGATGTAGAAGTAGCAGCCAGAGAGAAGGACCTATACACACCTCTGGAACCTGAACAGGCAGATTCATGTTTCTACTGTGAAGTCCTCTTAGCATCACGGCACAGGATATAAGTACCCCTCCTCCTTCGCTGTCTCCCAAATATGGAGTCCAAGCCCACACTGCATGTTGACTTTTCACCTCAAATAGCATAATTGTCACATTGAATGCAAATGGTGATTAGTGAGTAAAGCATTGCACTCAACCTCTGACCAAGAGACTGGCAGCAAGTCATTGTCTTCCATAGCCATTGCACTTACCTAAACAACATGGTATGTATCAGAGGGTCATCAAGACCTTCCCTTCTTTTCCCTTCCTTTTCCTTCCTTCCTTTCTTTCTCTTTCTTTCTTCTTTCCCTTCCTTCCTTCTTTCCTTTCTTTCTTTCCTTCCCTCTTTCTCTTTCTTTCTTTCTTTCTTTTTTTCTCTCTCTCTCTGTCTCTCTCTCTCTGTGTCTCTCTCTGTCTCTGTCTCTCTTGCCTAGGCATTGTCCCTGAGTTTTTGTGTGTGTGTGTTGCTCAAGGTAATGTTCTACTTGAGCCACAGCAAAATAAGAGTCTCATGGACTTTACTGCCCTGGCTGGCTTTGAATCTCGATCTTCAGATTTCAGCCTTCTGAGTACCTAGGATTATAAGTGTGATCCACCAGGAACCGGCTACCAAGATCACTTTTGCCCTGATATTCTGTGGTGATTGTGGGTCCGGGCACCCTGGAAATCTGTTTTGAAGAAACCTTTCATCCAACTTCAACAGAAGTCAAAAGGAATCTTTGCCCCCGACAATTGTTGATTTTACTTTATCAAGAGAAAGAAGAGTTTCAGGGATGGGACCAGAGATGGAGTCCACCCTGGCTCTGGTGTATGTAAGGATATGTAGATAAGGTACCCAGATTCTGAAGAGACATGATGGCATCCTACAGGAACAGAAGGCCTCTGGCCTGCTTGGTCCCCAAGGAGAGTGGTAGATATTTACTTCATTCCCAGTGATTAATGAGCTTCTCCAATGGAGTCAGGCAAGCAGAGCAGGAGTAAGGGTGGGGTATATTTTGGAAATTATCTTGTCTTCATATTATTTTAATAGTTCAAACTAAGGACTCCAAGGTATGCCATAGAGTACTTTGCAAAGTTATTCGATAAAACTTTGGTGATTTCTTGGATAGCTTGCATAAAAATGAACCACCTCTCTGGGTAATTTGGATGGTGTTAACAACACTACAGCTCCTCTTGGAGATTTGTATGCACTTTAGAATGTTCAATGCTCTGAGAAATCCTGCAATAGAAACACCTATGTAATTTTCATTTAAACCAACCTCCTCCACATATTTTGGCCTCTTCCTCTTCAGATCTGAGGAACTGATATTCTGGAGCACATAAACTGGGAAATACTGAACAAGATAATTTCCAAGTTCCCTTGTAAATTACTCTTTCTCATCCAGAGATAATGTAACCCAGCTAGTAGAGAATACTGAGTTTAGAATCCAACAAAACTAGGCTAAAACCTTGAAAAAAATATTTTCATATTCAGTTTTCTTGAAAATTAATATGTAAATAAAACTTAATCAATTGATCTTATACCTCAAAAAGTACTTTGCCAAATGATATGATGATTAGTATATACTAGTAACTAGCCAAGAAAGAATTCCAATATATTTTTTTAGAGAAGTAGTAGAGTTTTGTGGAAAGGGTTCTGGCCTCAGTATTTAAAGATGTAGGTTTGAGTCCAGGACCCATTTGGAACCTTTGATAAAGTTGTCTAGAATGATACAATTCATGACTGACTTACAGATGTTTCAGACATGCATGGATAAGTCCTATGAACTTAAATTTAGTTTTTTGTGTTTTTTGAAAACAACCTTCTAATCTTAAAAAAAGCCTGCTTCACTCAATTTAGTAATTATTGAGTACCTACTTCATGGCAGGCCTTATTCTAAGAGTAGCGATGAACAAAGTGCTTGATCTGAAAAACAATGAAAGTGCAAAAGATCAGATGTACAGCTTCAAGCAGCTATATTATTCCATTATAATGAGAATGAATTACTAAAGATTTCTGGAGAAGGCCCTAGCTAAGAACTTTACCTCATCATGTTGATTTTCTATGACAATCTTATAAAGATAGAATTATTATCACTGTTTGTTTTAAAAAAGTTATACTTGACCTTAATATGTCACTAGCTGAAATCACCAAGAGATTTTTTGTTGTGGTAGGATTTGAAATTCAGAAGTCTAGTTTTAGGATCTGTTCTCTATGTAACACAAAGCTTTGAAAAGATACTGTCTTTAAAACAAAATGACATAAAAAAGACATAATATGGATGTAAATATCATCTGTAAAGTCTATTTGTATTAATACTCTTATGCGGTAGATTTAGCTTGGAACATGGGTATAACAACTTCATGAAACAGCCTGGTATTACTTGAAGGCGCCAGAACAACAATCCTATTTTATTGTAACTTCACAAAACTTCTGAAACTATCAAAAAAAACTATAAATATATAAAAGAAGCAAAATAATGTATTAATATTCTTACAAGACAAATGAAGGAGCTAACTTTAAATAAAACCCATTCATCTACTTAATCAGAGCATGAGATACACATGTCTTGAGCATCTACTAAATGCCAGACATCTAAGGGCTCTGGTAGGTACCATCAACAGTGATTTAATAGCAAGTTAAGCATTTTTAGAGAATCTTGTTTTTTAAAAAAATTTATTGTAAAGGTGACGTACAGGGGAGTTACAGTTATATAAGTCAGGTAATGAGTACATTATTTTTCAACAATGTCACCTCTTCCCTCATTTTCTCCCAGTTTTTACCCTCTCGACCCCCTCCCTGTACAAATTGGATAGTTCATTTTCAACATTGTGTCTACTGAATATCACTGCTGAATTAGTTTAACCTTTGTCCCACCATTTCCGTGCTTCCCCTTACTCTTCTCATAGAGATCTTTAATTTTCATTTGCATAAGTTAGGCATTAAATCCTTTGAGCATCTATGCCCAATTTAGAGTAGATAGGAAGATTATAAAAGCTAGTTCGTTTTAAATAAGGTAATAGGTATCTGACAGATCTAAGCATTTATGTTTTTTTTTTTTATAGTGGATTTTTGTTGGATAACCTGGAAGGTTCTTCTCTAGTGCTAATTCTAGGATAGCAGATAGTGTGACATGCGGGCGGGGAGAAAAGGAAAAAAATAACTGAGGTTTTGG